ATCTGTTCCGTCGAAGTTGGTATTTGGCGAAACTAGCCCTTTTCGACGGCATGTATTGTAAAACTTTTTGCTGTACGAAAAAAAGTAGTAAGGGATCGAATGAGGGATGAAAAGTTGTGTGGATGTATCGTAATTATTTTTATAGAACTCACTAATATTATAAATGCGAAAGTAACTCTGAAACGCTCTAACATTGTATTTACACAGGTGTCTTATTAAAATTAATAAATAAATAAACCCAAAATAAAATACTGTCTATAGTTTACGCGAGTAGTACACATTTAAATAAAACCCAAAATTATTAAAAATCCTACCCAAAGTCAGTATTCCACGCGGACGAAGTCGCGAGCACAGCTAGTACAAGATATATATTGCTTAATGTTTTCGTAGCCATTTTGCAATGCTTACTTCTAAATATTACAATCATAAAACCGAAATTACTTGCCTTAAAATTAAATTTAAATACTGTACTTTAAAACGCTCATTTAGGTTCAAAGTCAATTAATGACCTAAATTTCCTTCTACACTTTGACAAATCGTGAGAAAGATAACCTAAGACCTCAAAAGTAGGAAGCCATTAATAAAGAGCCCTTAACAATCCCATAAAATGGGGCCAATGAAGTCGTAAACTTGATTTACACTTCCTCTTTCTCAATCAGTCTGTCCCTTCTAGAAATCTTTGATAGATTGACTTAACCTTGATGCGTTTGCTCTGTCCAACACAAGGTCAGCGCTGTCTTCGTTGACGTGGAGAGATTGTTAAATTATTTAGTACAATTCCTTAGTAATATTATAGGTTAGGTAATAGTCTCTCACTTAGATATGGCAAACGTCATTTTGTTGTGCGCCAGATTAATATTATCTTCGTTAAAATTATATTCTTCGCTTCGACTTTCATAGGAAGTTATTACTTTGACTAGAATAGTATGTACGTAACTGATCGTAATTAATATCGTCAATAATACAATAGTTGTATTGATATTGGCGTTTTGCAAATATGTATAGTCTAAGTTTTCTAACTTGGCAAAAGACCATAACAAATATGGCCCATTTTAAACCATAGAGATTTAGTGAAGCCATTTTATAGAGTTTAGTCATTGCCACAGATGACATAGAGTTAAAGAAATATCCATTATATATGGACCAAACGACCTCAATATTCAAAAACCACTTTTATGATGCTTTTTTTCACTTTTTTATGTCATCTCTACGTTTGTAACGATTAAGCGTGATTGTTACTTCTACCTTCTAGTGTCGTTGACTTTGTTTCCGTCCCATCCCTATGCAAATGTCAAACTAAAGAAATTTTAATCTGTGCATTTGCGTGAATTAATTTTCAGGATTTTTATCAATTTGATCATGAAATTGTGGTACTGAGTGAATTTGTGGTTCATTAGTTTAATATAATCCAGTGTCTTAAAGTGGTTTTAGTTTGAATCAATAATCACGATTTCATGTAAATTGTGCGTTCGTTTAGAAAACATGCCAAGTAAGACAAAAGCCACTATTCATTTAATTTTAAACTTGAGTTGCTTAACGAACATTATTTTCTAAACTGTTTTAATGAAATTGTAGCCGACCATAATCTCAATTCCAATATTAATTGCCAAGTTTAATCAAGTCTATTAACCGAGATTGATTTTCCCCGACAATGGTCTTCATTTCAAAGGAACTCATAATAATGTAAAATATACTGTTTATATCCCTTTAATATTACTTTGTAAACAAGTAAACGTATTGCCAGAGGTAATCCAACTTACTCCTTGAAGGCAACAGACGAATGGAAAAACTTATTTCATTACTCCTTGACGAGGTTCTCAATTTGTTTTCTAAACGTTTATATTTTCATGTAGGTTATTCCGCCATTTTGAATTTATAATGAAATAAACTGCGCTGGAGTTCATAAACCTAAAATATTCTTATTTTAGATTCCAAAACTCACGTTATATATTTTTTAGCACAGGTTGTGCTATTTGAAATCAAGGTACACTAAAACAGTACCATAAATAAAACACGTTTCACGGTTTCAAACGTGCGTAATAACTATTTTTAACTACGACCCGACGACCTAGTCGCAACAGCCCCAAGCGCCGCGTATACATCCTATTCTATTTAAATACCTATATTTTATTAATTATTTTAAGTACAGTGCCGCAAAACATCTGAAACGTCGGGCCGTAGTTAGAATAACTTTCAAATAAGTTCAACTGATATATATCGCGTTTTAAAACGTTAAAGTGTTTTATTTAAATAACTAATTTATGTATTTAAGTGTAACTAGCGAATAATACAGACTATATTAAATCAATAAGTGAGTTAATTACAGACCTTTACAGCAAATCCCTGTTACAGCCCTACAAATTAACAGCCCTCTGACACGCAAATAGACTATTTCGTCCGAATTGAATCCAATTTCGGGATTTTACGCCATTATATTAGCACGTTCAATACGTGCTTAGCAAATGAGCTAATTTAGCAGATAACAACTAGAATTTAACTAACCATTTTTTTTATGATAGAGAAGGAGAAGTATGGGGTTTACGTGATCTAAACAAGACATATTGTGCTTCGGATATTCAGAATAAACAGTCTGAGACCGAATTGAGATAAAACTTGACGGCTTTTTCATCAGTGGACAGTAGGTCGTGACCCGGACGGAATTCCAATATTCCCACGAACCCAGACTTCCAGGCGACGTTTTGAATAATTATAATTTGATTTTAAAAAATGTTGGACCCGGTGGAGATCGAACCCACGAATCGTTGGTTACTACTACAATGCTACCATTCTATACGAGCCTGTCAAATTGGCCAAATAAGTCTATCAACCATAGTTACGTGTTTCAAGTACTAAGTGATATTTTGTATTAAAACTTAATTGGATTTAAAATTGTATATTAAACAAAATAAAGTTAATATCGTTGGAAGGTAAATTGCCTTGTCCCTATAAAATGAAAAATGCGCTGTCTATAGTTTACGCGAGTAGTACACATTTAAATAAAACACTTTAACGGTTTAAAACGTGATATATTAGTTGTCTCCCCGTGACCTACGGCTGCTGCAAAGCATCCGAAACGTCAGGCCGAAGTTAAAAATCATTTTTAAATAGTTTAACTAATATATCGCGTTTTAAACCGTTAAAGTGTTTTATTTTAAAATGTGCTGTCGACCTATTATGTACCGAAACGCGAATTTACATTTCAAGGCTTTTTCTACTGTTATGTGTTTCATGAATCGGACTGAAATTTTGTCATTCCCATTTATTGTTCAGATATTTTATTTTCTGTATTCGAATATCATATCAAAAGTTATTAAATGTAACGAGTTTCATCAAACAAAAAACATTAAGATCTTATATTCCAGTTTAGTCACAGAAGAGATTAGATAATTAAATTCATATGATTGTTAAATGAAATATTCATTATAAAATTACCTAATTAAGTTAATTCAATTAGAGTTTTACGTCTTAGATGTGCCTAAACTTAATTATCAGACAATTTTGAAAATTGGAAAACTCATTTCGAGGCTTAAAAAGTTAAATTGATAATTTATTTAGATTGAAAATAATTCACAATACGAACCGGCATCCACAGGGTTCCGTGCTGTTTTAAAAAATTGAGATACCGTGTCGCAATTGTAGAGGTTTTAAGTGGGCGAAGCAGCAGCACGGCACGCTGTGGACACCACTTCAAGTTAAATAGATTTGTAATTAATATACTGTCACCATGTGTTATACATGTGAAAAATATGAAAGAAAATATAATAGGCCTGAAGAGACTTGTTCAAACTTATTATTACTTTTGATGTTAAATCTACGTGCAATATTACGTAAATGTTATCTAGTTAGTTAGTTATCTAGTTTCCAATACGTAACTCGGCACTTTGCAAGGTTTCCTCACCTTCCTGTCACGATTACTTTAGGTCAATGTCAGATAGATTACTATGCTAGTCTTCACTGTCAATCACTGAACGTAGAACATACTTGGTGTGTACTTGAAATACGAATATGAATTGTTAAGTTCCAAGCTAAAAAATTAATTAAATTATGACCTGCCCTGAAGGCTAGACCTGCTATGAATATTTATCGGTATACTAGATATGCCAGCGACGTCCGCGTAGAATAGCTATTTAGAACATCAACATTTGTTGTTACAAAATTTCTCCACATCTTTATAAATTATGGCCGTTACTCACGATATAAGTCGCGTCCCGTCGTTCTAACCAGTTAATCTTAAAAAATAGATATCTACTGTTCACGGACATTCTTAAGGACATTTAAAGCGGAATTATTATTTTGCAACTCACGCAGCGAAACCCTCAAGATAAATACTTTTACCCTTTCTTTTCTACATTTTCAATTGTCTTTGCTCATATTGGTCGATGGCCTGATGTTTTGTAGCCTAAAGCCATCCTCAATAACCGACCATATAGTAATTTTGCGAATTTTTAAATTAGCTCGTAAATAAGCAAACTATTCAGCTTTATAATATTAGTGTATTTAATGTTATGCGCACTAGGGCAAACGCTAGATTCTCACGCGAAAACGTCTGTAATTGTAACTAATGTTATCGTTCTTATCCGCTCAATTGTACTAAATTTGAATGTTTATTATGAGTGGAGTATTCGTAGAGCACGCATACATTAAATTAATTCAGCTCAGTAAATTCTAAAACTCAGTGGCTTAATTAATTTTGAAATTCACATATATGTTTACTGTAATTGAGGAGAAGCGTTTTATGAGGTTTTCGAGAGATATACGGTTAACTGAAATAGCTATGTTTTGTCTCTTTTGTTCATACGTAGAGCGTATATTGATGTATCACACATTAACAGACTCAAACGCAGGACAGAAATCGATATATTTATTAAAATATTAGATGAAATTTTTTATTAGTTTAAGTAAATGTGTTTTCGGACATAGAACGTATATTATAAATAAAATACTAATTAGGGCTTAAAACACGCTAATTGTTAGTTTCCCTTTTTTTTTTCTAAAAAATAATGCTTATACAAGTTTTATTCAAGGTTAGAAGATAAAAAAGAATGAAATATTTTATTCAAGTTGCCATTTTTACATTGTAATGATTACCAAGTATTATCCACAGTAGGATCCAGGTCTCCTCTTACGGGATTAGCGAGATTAAGATACCACCACTAAATGAGTTATAAAAATCGGTAGACTTCGAAAAACCTCGTTGGTACTAAAAACTTCCTTAGAAAACCTTGCAGTATTACGATTTAGTTTTATTTTTGTTTTACAGCGGAGTATGGATGCCAGAGACGATGATGAACCTCCACCAGACCCGGCAGCCAGGAAACACCTTCACCATGACTACACAGAACAAGATTTTGAAGGTATATGCTATTTTAAAGAAAATTGGTCACACAAACTTTCCACGTATTAGTTTTACATATATTATTTTAAATTTTACTTTCGTGTTGTTTAATTAGTTTTTCTCATATGTTAAAATGTTGGCACTTAAGTTACTTAAGTACAATTTAACGACTGTAATGCGTAAATTACAGACAGTAGATTGTATGATATTTGGAAATAACAACGATAAATTATATATATATATTTTTTATGATAGAGAAGGAGAGGATAGGACCTCAGGATAGGATCATTTGATGGTTGGTGACCCCCACCCCCCAGCATATAGCATCTAAATAAGACGCGCTGTTGACCTTTTTGGCTTTGAATTCGGAAATCCCAAATTTAAACCGAAACGCGATCAAGCCTCACTTTTTTTCATCTGTGGACCCGGTGGTTTGTGGCCCGGATCGAATATCTATATTCCTATCACTCATTTAATATCCAGATTTGCATATTTCACAAAACTTATAAATTGAAAAAGTAGAAACATGTGGACTTGGTAGGGATCTAACCCACCACCGGTTGATTATTAGCCATATATTTTTTCTTACCCTTTATTTGACTTTATGAAAATCAGTTTTCCTAACAGGTTCACCAAATACTGATTTCGTTAGTATGCATAAAGCCTACTTTAGTCTCAAATGTCACCGTGATGTTACAAAGAAATTCGTATTTATTGGTTGATCTATGTCGTCTTGTCTTGGCAAGTCCTTACCCGAACAAGTGAAATGGAAGTAGGTCGAAGGGCGGAAAGAGGACGGGCGACACCCTTAAATGTTACAGTGTTTTCATACGAGTGTGTTCATAAGTAATCGTTTAAACAGATTTCAAACGCAATGTTGTTTAAAACAACAGGATTAATTTATTTGTCAACCTTTACGGGGAAAGCCTTTTTCAAAACAAAGTTGTATTTTTCCAAGTTTTTATTTTAATGTAAGAAGAAGACAGATAAGCTGGGTATTTATTGTACATGTTATATACTATGTATGTTATTAAGACGTGCTGTCGACTTATGTATGCTGACTTTCGACCATAGATAGATACGAATAATTTGAGCCTGTAATGGTATAGTCTAGTTTATGCGAGTAATAAACATTTAAATAACACTTCAACGGTTCAAAACGCGAAACATATTAGTAAAACTTATTTTAACTACGGCTCGATGTTTCGGATGCTTTGCAATGGTCAAAGCCATGGTCACGGGGAGACTAAAGATGGAGGATGTCTTTCATGTCAAAGTATAAACCATTAAAGTTTTAATTTTTAATTCTTGATGTTTCTCAGAGCGTTGGACATAAACCGGCCCATGTTATTTAAACCTAGTTTTTATACTTTTCCTCAAATATAATTATGATCGTCTACCTATAATATCGAAATATCTTCGTTTCCCTTAGGAATACCCTTGGGATATAATTTTGATTGAGATCCCCGTTATTCGTAGATGTCACTATTGAACAGTACGAAGCGAAACCTTGATAATGAAAATACCTCGAAAACTTTCGAGCTGGAGTTCTCCACATTAATCGGTTTGTTCCCTTTGAAGTCACAATCCCAGGAGGTTTTCGTAGCGCCCTCGGCGGTATCCAAATTGAGATTTGTAGCGCTTTTAAAAGATGTTATAATATTATAACACAACTGTTATATCGTCTACCGCCTTTATAATTCTAAAGTTATTATAGAAATTAAATGTCGATTTTAGATTAAAATCAAATAAAATCACATGTCATCATCGATTATATTCAATCTATTGATTCATGACCCTATGTGTAAAATTATCCATTTTTAATTTATATACTGCCGTCATGTGAATATTAATATTTATAAAAGCAATTCCCGTTTCCTAGCAGTCCTGAGTAGTCAGAAAAGCACGAGAAACCCCTTGGTAAAATGTGTTCTTTCAGGTGGACATGGGTCTAGAAGAGTTAACTGTCATAATAATTAAGATACAGAAACTAACATACCTGTAAATTAAATACTCTCAGCTTTATAAATTATAGCTGCGTGTCACGTCGTTATCGTTTAAAACATTGCCATATATCGCGGACATCTTTTTACAAAACCTTCCTCGATTCCAACCAGCACATTTTCTTTTAAAACGAACTAGTAGTTTCTGAGTTTAACGCGTTCAAACAAACAAACAAACAGTATACCTTTTATAATATTAGTATAGATATATTCCATTCGACAAAGTTAGTCTAAGGTCACTAGTTAGCGTTGTAAGTTCTATTGAATTCGTTCATTACGTCTAGATGGGAACTAAAAACGGAAATATATACTGTTCAAAAAAAAAAAATTTTAAAAAAAAAATTTGGCGGCACGGGCAGGACTCGAACCCACAGCGTTTCGTGCTCCTTTTCTGAACAATTGTCGATACACCTCCCGCGCAATGTAATTTCAACTTTAACGCTGGCGTATTAAAGTTCAATGTCTTACATTTTGAAGCTAACGAAAAGTAATAAAAAAATTCTATGAAGACAAAGAAGTTAAACGTATACAAAGTTTAACGTTTGAAAACTTTTAAAAATGTTCCAGCATATGATGGCATTACACAAATTAAACATCTATTTGGATTCTAGATCTATTAGTGCACCATTACTTAATAGTGGTTAGGTACCTGAACGAAATTTCGGTATACCTACTACCTATTTAATATTCAGATTATCCTGGACGAAGTCTAACATGTGACAGAAAAATTATAGATTAATTATTGAAACGGGTGGGAGTCAAACCCACGTCCTCTTAATTATTAGCCATTTGTTGAGACCCAAGGAGTTTGTGAAAAACTCTAGTATATCCGTTATACGTTACCCGTTACCTTTAATATTTACCTCTCTTCGCTTATTTCAACATTTTTCAAACTCAACGAATACGTTGGCTTTTGTTGGAAAATGTTACTGTCATATTCAAGATAACGAAGGTGGGTGTAAACACTTTTGTGTTGCCATAGTAAAGCTTCCTACTATATTTTCTATATAAAAGAAAAAATGTTTTAACTTAAAATTATTTAAATAAAACACTTTAACGGTTAAAAAACGCGATATATTAGTTAAACTTATTTGAAAATAATTTTAACTTCTGCACGACGTTTTGGATGCTTTGCAACAGCCGTGGGTCACGGCGAGACTAAAGATGAAGGATTCTCTTAAGTAAATTGTAGGAGCGATTTCGTCGAATTGGTTTGGCGAAACTACCGGTCTTCGCGTTTGCCGGTATGCTGTTTATTGGGATCCGTGTTTTTAATAGGATCCCAGGTGTTTGATAATTTGAGGCCGTCCTCCCTATTGAAATTGGTTTTTTTGATTTATGCTTCGCGTACCAATCTTGGAAAAAATCGACTCTCCTTTGCGAGGATTTTTGCTGTCAAAGCGAATTAATATTGGGCCCTTCGATATGTTGGAATACCGCAATTTGGAGAGACTTTATGTTTTATATCCGCAGTTTCTTTAATTCTGTTTGAGATGATACCTTTGTTTGGCCGATGAGGATATGCACAATCACAATCCAGTTGTACGCTGGATCTTGTAAAGGGGTAGTACATTTGTTTGTTTCAAGAATTCTGAATCTCCTTTACTTGAAAATTTTCAAATAAGTTTAACTAATATATCGCGTTTTACTTAAGTCTTTATTTAATGGTATTACTCCCGTAAATCTTGAAAGTACTTAAAGTTATATTTAAAATGTTTCAACGTTCAAATTAAATATGTCTATAGTTTACGCAAATCACTTTTGCCGTGGTCACGGGGAGACAAAGTTGCTGCAAATCATCCGAGACGTCGTGCCGTATTTAAAATAAATAGCAAATAAGTTTAACTAGTGTATAACGTGTTTTAAACGGTTAAAATATTTTTTAAAAAGACTCGTATGAAAAATCAGTTTTATTTCTGTGGATTTGCGAATTATTCAAGTCGATATAGCATAATACATATGCATAGAGGTATAACATTTCCTTTTACACCAGAGAAACATATCTATTTTCCTCTCTCATGAAAATATAACACTTATACTACTGTTATTAGTTATTAACAGACTATCGCTATCTGTGACAATCACTGGAATATTCAATACACAATTTGTATAACATACTCAAGCATATACAACATAGGTACTATAATTGTGATTGCCTTGAGGGGTTTGCCGAAGCCATAATATCATGATAAGGTCAGGTTTACGCGATTTTCCGCGAAAGAGGCTTTAAGAAGTAACCGATTCAATGCAATGTCACAAGATTAAATACATACTAATTACGAGTATATGCATATAAAAAAAACCTGTCTGTAGATTACGCGAATGGTACACATTTAAATAAAACACTTTAACGGTTTAAAACGCGATATATATTAATTTTACTGAATTGAAAAAATCTCGTTTTAAACCGTTAAAGTATTTAATAAAAAATCCTTTCAAACGGCTTGTAGTTGTTACTTGTTTACATGGTATATGTCTAGGGTATTTCACCTTCCATGAAGCGAAGCTCATGTTTGTCTGTCTGTTGTGTTAAAAGTATTTTAATTAAATGCGCACTACTCGCGTGAACTACCGGCGAACAATGTTTTTTATAAAATATATTACAGTTCCACTATTTAATATTTATATTTCGATACCTTAAATTACTATATATATACCCTTTTTTAATCTTGAACATTTCCTGGAATGCGAGAGAGGTCCTGGCTTCGAATCTCGGGGAAACAATACATGTTTCGGTCAGGCAGGACAGAGAAGTCTGATCAACTACCTGCCTATAAATCAAACTGATTATTATTGAAACGGACACATAATTGTGTTCGCTCTTATGCCCCAAAATAGGATAAGATAAAATCAAAAGGCATAAAGTGAAATATGTGTTCCTATGTATATAAACGGGTTCTCCCTTTATATATAACTGAAAAGAACTGTCAATTCGTAATAGCTTGTAAAAAGTGTCACGTGCTAATAAGTGCTAAAATGCGAAACGTTTTATTTTTTCCCGAAGCACTTTGGCTCTTATAAGCACTTGTAAGCGCTACGGCGTAGCGATTTCAATGTAGCGCTCTCGAAAATCTTTTGTTTTGAGAAGTAGAATTATATTATGATATGATAACATATTTATTGGTACCTTTTAAATATATAGAATATATATAATATCTGACATAATAACATTGAATACCCGTATTTGTTTTATATTTATTTGTGACAAGGAGAGTTAAGTACATTTTAAAAAGTTAAAAACTGATACTTTCACTCGAAACCACATTTGCACAGTAAACTTTTATCGTATTGCCATAACCTTGTACTTACAATCTCATTAATAATACCAAATTTAAAATATATCACTTTACAATAAAATTGGTGGGAACTACTCAGCTTAAGAATTGAACATCAGAGCACTAATTTTAAAATGCTAATTTAGTCGAGAAAGTTCAACGTCGATGAGAGTATAAAATAGTTATTCGGATAGTCATAGATTATAGAATTTAAACTTTACTGCTTTACGATAAAGTGTATAATAGTAAATCAGTAACATTATATTAAATATATTTTTATCTTAAATAAAAAAAGTTCCGCTATGAATACTAAGAATATCGCAATATAGCTCTGAAGGATGGACAGAATAAAAGACGTTTTAAGAAATTACAAATTATTTTATTTATTAGATAATATCGTATTTTTTAGATTCCTTTTGTCTTTCTTTAACTGTTAACACTATACAGGTTGTCCCAAGAAGTAGTCTCAAGCGGTGGTCCCAAGATAGAACACCCCTTGTAGTATCCGAAGCACCCCCATGTATTTTCTGCGATTATTTATAGTTTTTGAGTTACAATTTATTTTTTAAAATTTTGAGAATTTTTGACCCAATCAACTAAAACGCTAATTTAAAAAACTTCTAGAAAAACTAGTTTTATCTAGTTTTTTTTTTCACAGCTCAACAAGCATGAGTTGTACATTAATAATTAAAACATTTGTCTTCGTAACCTTAATGGAAGTTAAAAATATGATGGTTCAAAGTGAAAAAGTTATGAGCCGTGAATTGCGTCTTAAAATTTTTACTTTAAATATTAAAATAGGTAGCTTTGTAGCTCATAAGTAAGTTTAAAAACTGCGCCAGACTCTTAGCTTTAATAATCATTAAAAAAAGGACTACATAATACGTTACTTTTGCTAATACCGGACCTCAAAGACAGATTGGCGTAAAAATGTTATAAATAGCCATTTGGCCATTGTATTTTTTGCATTCTTGAAGATAATTTTTAAAATTAGCCATATGATTTGGAACTTTTTTAATCATTTTATTATTTCTGAAGACAATTCGATTGTTAAGTAACTAAAATCTACTGAGGGAGCGCTAAATGGCAAACATCTCTTTTTTTGTAAAAAAAAAGCAGTAAACTTTACTGCTTTCGCTGATCGCGTTTTCAGTCTGTGGATTTCCGAGGAATCAAAAATAAGTCGAGCACATCTTGTCGAGATATAGCGAGGTGTTTCACGTTAAAAAATAGTTATTAAACACTTTGCCTAAATTCACTGATAACAGCGTGGTAGATAAGACATACAAGACCGCTTACATAAAAAGCACTAAACGATGAAATGTAAAATTACAGCGCACTTTAAAATTCAAAACGAGTACTTTAAAGGTACTTAAATCTTCGATCGATACCTACATTCCAGAGTCTAGACTTGCTTTTTGTTGGATCTTTGTTGTTCTAAACGGTATGTTTGGTTAATGCGGTTCCTTTGAACCTCCAACTTCTATAAAATTTTATGTGTCTGAACCCTTATTCATTATTCATGCAATTTGTGTTCGCAAACCGAATTTCTAAGGGTAGAGTTCCTTACCAATAACTGGTCCATGTGGACAATAATTATTTTCAATATTATCGTTTCGATGAATTAGGCTTTATACTATATCGCGTTATTAAGCAGATCCGACTAAATAAAACGGTTTAAAACGCAAAATATATTAGTTATTAATGTAACTTTAACTCAATCATATAGTTCGCCTTTTATACCGTCATATTAACTCTTATTATTTTCGTCGTGTTTCTATTTCCGCAACTTACAATCAGCAAACAACGCACTGTACTATAAAAACTAGGATATGAGAAAAATGCGTCCACCAATCAAAGTTAAATAACCGTGAGATTAAATTTCATTTTGGTTGCAGTCTGTTGATTTCAAAATAACCAAAAATAGGTTCTCCTTTTTTATTACTGAATTTTCATTTCTACCACGGTTGCTTGGAGGAGATAGCTATTTAGCTATAAAGTAACCGTTTTTCCTTAATTTGTATCTTTTTTTTTGTTGTGACAATAAAGAATATTTAAATTAGTAAGCCGACAGCGCACCTTTGATATATTATCATATAATCGTCTTCCGCTATCATAAATAAAAATAATTACAATAAGGCACCATAAGATCGTTAGTATCAGTTTGCATATTTTGATTAATACCACTCCAGTGTATAAAGACCACTATGTAGGTGTTATAATAATTAACCACAAAGTTTCAAAATTTACAGTCTATTTGAGGGCGAAATTGTTTTCAAAGTTACAAAGTTGAGAGTCAAGTTATCACTTGTTGGTTAGTTGTTAAAACATTTTAAGTAATGTGAGTGATTAAATAAGGCATCTTTTATTTATTAGCTACCGTGTCCTGCACGTCATCGTCGATTTTTTTTATAATTAATACACCTCTCGCGCATTTTTTAAAATCTAAAATCCATTTAATATTTTTGTAATGCCATCATGTGCCATAACATGTGAAAAATGTGTAATTTTCAAATATACAAATTTGAAAATAATTACAATTATTTAAAAAAATATATAACTCATATTTAAATATTGATTAACTCATAACCCTTTCCAAGCAGTTTTGTGTTACATAGATTTAAACCTATTTATTGAGGGTACTTGCTTTGGATTTAATTAAGTATCTATATTAATCAAACAACTAATACTTTTATGGAGCCTTTTGGTTGGTACACTTATTTTGTCCGTATTACGTGTTGTATGATGGAAGTGGGTTTGTTTTCGATTATAAACTGTTAAGTTTTTTTTTTAATAATAATAATAGTGGAAAATCATCTGAAAGTTTTATTAAATATCATTAAATAAAATTACAAAAAAACTTCTGACTTCTTATTAAGCAAGTAGTAGTACAAAACTTTAACCGTTTGAAACGCGAAATATATTAGTTAACCAATTTTTTATTAATTTCAACTACAACTCAACATTTCGAATGCTCTGCAGTCAAGATCGACAATATATTTTATTATCATGTTTATGAGTGAGAGTCGAACCCGACGACCACAACAGCCTTCTGCGATGTTTACTTCATATGCATTTGTTTACTTTCTCTAGTTATAATAGAGAATGTGTATCAAGTGACTAATTACCTTCGCTATACAATGTCACGGTTTTCCAGGTCACAGAGCGCACACAGTGTTCGTGGGCGTCCACGTGCCGACGAGGCGACATTCCCACCGCAAACACAAACATCACCATCGCACTGAAAAAGACCCCGAGAAGCCTAGTGAGTACCTCCTACTATTTCTACTTCCCTAGTACTATGGACCTCCTCTTCAGCCAAATGGTTAAACGTATTGCCCTAGCATTCGTGTCGTAAGAAGTCTGATCTTGCCTTTAAAAAAATGTTCAGTAAAACGTGCCCCACGTATGTAAGAAAAATTACTTGATCCGATGTTTGATTTTTTTTATATTATAGATTATATTTTTTAATGACACCACATTGAAGATTGTTACTCCTTAGTATTTCTACTCCCCTGTTCCTTTTTAACAAATGCTGTGAAAGCGCAATGCATGGCCCGCGTAGGGCAAAAGTAACATGGGAAGTGTGGGCCGCTAGAACTCTGGCCTAATAACAAATAACACGATTTTCGATAAGGGGGAAAATAAAAATGGCGAAAATTATACTAACAAATTTCAATCACTATGCTCTTGTAGATTAGACAATAAAAATATAAATAACTTAAGTCATAAATTTTCAGTTAGGCTACTCTGACTCTAGTGTCCTTATATATTAGAATAGACAGTTGAATATATTGTTTCGGTCGGGCAGGGCACAAGGCTTTGCCTGTAAACTACCAGTGAAACAGACACAAAAACGTGTTCGTCACATATCCCAAGGTGGTAACACTTTACTACGATGTAAGAAAAATTACTTGATCAAATGATATTTTTTATTCACACCGCATTGAATACTCATTATTTCTAATGTCCTAGTACCGCGTCAAGAATTACTTACTCTATTGCAGTTTTATAGTTGAAATAAATACATTTCTTTTTCATTTTTGGGGTTCTGTACCCAAAAGCAAAATCTTTAATTTGTATTTCTAAAGAGTTGAAATGCTATAAAAATACTTAAAAAAATAAATATTAGGGAATTTAAATTTGGTTCCATATTAATAGCGGCGAATGATAGGCTAAAAATACTTATTAAATATAGCAATATGCAAATATAGCTTCAGTTATTAACCTAGACCTTAATACGGGACCCTTCCTCCGCAAGTCCGACTCGCACTTGGCTGGTTTTATTTTATTAGACTAGAGATGAAATTTTACCTGGAAGCTATAATTACTTTTGTGTTCTACTTTGTACTCTATTCTATTTCTAGTTTCCTGGTACGTAAAATATGGTATACCTATTAAAAACAAGCCTACACATAGTTTATAACCAAGCTTTTTTTGTAGGGCTTCGTTGATAGCAACGTATTAAATATTCAACGGGTCACGGGTTCGATTTCCACCGAGACCAAAACTATTTTAATCAATTTATAATTTTTCTAAAACATGTTGGGCTTCTGGATATTCAATGGGTAGGAATAATCAGAATTCCGCCTGGGTCACGAAAAATTGTCAACAAGAAAAAGTCGTCAAGTTTTATCGCGTTCGGCTTCAGTCTGTGGATTTCCGAATACCCAAAGTCATAGGTCGATAGCGCATCTTGTTTAGGTGTTATATGGCTGGTGAATTTTACCTATCTATATATATTTAAAAAAAGCTTCAAGCTAGAAATTACAAACTTAACAACCCATCTTTTCTCTAAATATTCGAATAACCTGCCAAAATGAGGGAAAAACCGTATAAACCATGTCGATGTATATATATTGGGCATTTTAAATCCTTAGTAATTCGACCAATTCGACCAGTCTATTTTGAACGCCGTTAGTTAATTTACTGGGGAAAATAGCAGCTTCAAATTTTGTAATATACATTTCATATTGAGTTAGCAATTATAGCTCGGACGAAATCAAAGTTATATGAGAATTCCGAAACTCGGTCACTTTCAGCACGAATGTCCGATGCCATCTAAAAGTGGACAGCTGAAAATTGCTGAAAATATTTTATGCACAGCGTTTCGGCTTCAGAATGGCCGTTTTAAAATCGAATACTCAAACATCATTCGCGCTGCGCTAGACAATTTGGTTCGGCCTTTTTAAACAAAGTTATTGTACATTGTATCTTAGTATATTTGTTATATTAAGTAGTCTCTGTAGTCTACGTGAGTAGTACACATTTATGTAAACATTTTAAACGGTTTAAAACTCGAAAGATGTAAGTCAAATTGTATTTGTATTTTTAATAAATTTAGTTTTTTTATTTGATTTAATTCATGTTCTTTGTATTTGACGTTGTTAGTTTATGTGGATGTCGTGTCTGTCTATTTAAAAGCTTAATTTTTAATTATTTTTCTTGGTATTATACTATTTAGGCCATATCTGTAATCATAGATTGCTTAGTTCTGTAGACTTTTTAAATAAAATAAAATAAATACTTATTTTAACTACAAAAAATTGCGTTTTTAAACGTTAAACGTGTTTCATTTAAGTAATAAGTTACAACAAAAAATAATCGATCTACTGACACAATCTTTTAAAAAATTCTATAATTTAATATTATAAATCATAAAATGATACTAAATAACTGCATATGATATAAATAAAACAACATAACATATATTATCTCGACCGTGATAGGTAAACTTTTTGATTCTTAGAGGCAATTTAACTTACAAAAAGTTTAAGAGACTGGTTTGATCATGTCATAATTTTTTGGTAATATTCTTTAATCCCAGAACACTTATAAATATTAGTTATAGAACGCTGACGTTGGACGTTTTATAGACTGTCTATAAATAGAGTTCAAATATATTTTATAAAAAAATATGCATATGTAGGACCGCCTCTATAGTTAAATTGTTAAACGAATTGATTAGCATTGCGCGAGAGGTCCTGGGTTCGGATCCCAGAGAAACAAAAAATATTGTTTCCGTCGGGCTGGGCACAGAAGTCTGATCAACTTGCACTTGCCCGTTAAAACGGTGAAACGGATACACAAATGTCTTCGCTTGTGCTTTCACTTTTTACGTATATATAAATACTTTATGAAATTAGTTTTACCATCATAGGATCTGGTATTAAGAGGATTAAATTTTCGCGGTCGATGCACAAATGACGTCATTATCATACCGTAGCAAAGCCTAACGAACCTGTTTACATAATGAGGACAAATCAGGATTCAAACAGATTACCCATTGGTCTGGCAAATGAAGCCTGTTGTGTCGAAATATTTACTATGCACGTGATTTAGATATACTGGAATCTTTCAAAATTCTTAACGGTTTGAAATACGAAGTATATTAGTTTAATTATTTTTAATTTAACTACGGCCTGACGTTTATTACATTTCGCGTTTTTAATCATTAAAAGTGTTTTATTTAAATGTGTACTATTCGTATAAACTATAGATGATACTGTGTTTAATATTGTAATTAATTCTCCTGTAATAAAACCTAAAAACTCCACTGACTGTAACCAACCAAGTTTTACATAGATTTATAAAAAAGTTATTTAAATATATAATAGTACTTACTTAAATGATTTTTATTATCGCGTTCGACTATAATTTTTCTAATAAATATAAATTTGCTTCAGTGTCCCGAATACCAGATATAGAAACACAGATCTTTTTTCTATTGAAATAATATATAATTTATTCAAGAAATAATCACATGTACTAACTGGATGTTAGTAGATAATATAATCTTAAGTCTAACAAGGCCTACTCCCACTAATCTCCTGAGACCGAATTCTAATCTGTACACCTAAGTTATCGATACATGACAACCATTAGCATATTAAATTCGATTGTAGGCTCAGCAATAATGGCGCGGGTTCGAAGACTAAGCGTTACCGATGACGGAGAGACATGTAAGATTAATCGAGACCCGTTTATTTCGATTATTTTCAATATCATGTACATCGTCAATCGAGCATTTCTGACTTTATCGATGTAAAGCATGCAAAAATCGCTTCTAGATTTCAATTTAGTTTCATTGAACCATTACCCGTCATATTTTAAAACCTATTCTTTGTAGACGATGTTTTAGACGTCGATTAAGGAATGTATCAAATTGTAACTAATAATACAATTACAGTGACACCACCAGCGCAAAGAGTTCAATTTATACTCGGTGAAGATGTCGACGACTCTACAATGGTTTCCCATCCACTATTCTCAGAAATGGAAGAACTAGTCAAAGATGGAGATGAACTGGAATGGAAAGAAACGGCTAGGTGGATTAAGTTTGAAGAAGACGTGGAAGAAGGTGGCAATAGGTGGTCGAAGCCACACGTTGCTACTCTCTCGCTTCATTCTCTATTCGAGCTTAGAAGTCTTATACTAAACGGATCAGTAATACTTGATATGGAAGCGAGTTCTTTAGAACAAGTCGCCGAGAACGTACTGGATAGTATGGTGATGGACGGCTTTCTCGGGTATGATAATAGGGATAAAGTAAAGGACGCATTACTAAGAAGGCACAGACATCAGCACGAAAAACGAAATCACAATAACATGTCCAGACTACCTCTAATCAGGTCACTGGCTGATATAGGAAGAAATCACTCATCGTGTAAAAGTAAGTATTTGTCAAAAAGTTTCCAGTATCATAACTATGTTTGTAATCGTCAATATGGCAACACAGGTTTGCAGGACAAAGACCCTAGAGGCACACCATCAAAGAGTTGTCGAGGCCCTGTGACTACTCCCCAAACAGCCCTCCTCCACGCGCGTGATATGAGAGGGTCTTATCTAGCTGTTCCAGGTCAGCACAGAGTAAATAAATGTGCGATAACTCACTGCGCACGCTATTACCTGTGGTGCACTTGGCTAACTTAAAAACTGTATATAACACGATATTATAACGATAATATGTACCCTTAAGTAGGTCATCTCTCTCCCCCCTTATGATCAATTGGCATTACTTCCAGTGGACGAAAGCAGTACAAGCAGTGGACAGTCTCATAAAGGAGATATTGGTCGTTTCCTAGGCATTCCACTTGCGGGTAACCGCTAAAATTATTATTGATGTTTTTCTATTTCAATGTCATCGATAATCTTCGATTTCTCTCTATTTCTATATTATTCGGTTGTTGTTTTAGCTAAATGCAAATTCTTATAGTTACCGCCAATTTAATGTTGAAATGTTTAGCTTTGCTCATGCTTTTCAGAATTACATTTCTCTATTTTGTAGGATGCTAGTTCCGAAATACGACAGTACACTTAAGCACATGGATCATTCATTATAGGTTTAAGATCATTAAACACAATGATTCACGCTTATTTCTTTCACACAGATTTTAAATGTTTTATATGCATGCTTGTAAATCTTACAATGCCAATTGAGTACAAAAATATATACATTTCAGGTGCACCCCACGAAGAAGGTATGATAAAAAGTCCCAGCAGTGCATCGATTCAACATCACGGTTCCAATGATTTCACTATGAACGGTGATATAAACCATAAAAGTAATACTAATTTCATGCGCAAGATTCCGCCAGGAGCTGAAGCTTCTAACATTCTCGTCGGGGAAGTTGACTTCCTTGAAAAAACTCTATCCGCATTCGTTAGACTTAAGACGGGTACTATTATGGGCGACTTAACTGAAGTACCGGTGCCTACAAGGTTCATGTTCGTTTTACTTGGACCGCCTAATAGTAATTCAAGCTTCCACGAAATTGGAAGAGCAATGGCAACGCTAATGTCAGATGAAATCTTCCATGAAGTTGCATATCGAGCAAAGAGGCGAGATCATCTTCTCGCTGGAATTGATGAATTTCTGGATGCTGTAACGGTATTACCACCTGGCGAGTGGGATCCCGCTATAAGAATCGAACCACCCGCTGCGATTCCATCACAAGACCCACGCAAACGTCCAAATGACAACAATATAAAGGAAGAGCCTGACGAAGAGGAAGAGGAGCAAAGGCAAAGAGAAGAATCAGGGTTAGCGAGAACAGGAAAGTTGTTTGGGGGTCTTAAAAACGATCTCAAGAGAAAAAAACCCTGGTATTGGTCAGATTTCAAAGATGCTTTAGCACTACAGTGTATTGCCTCTTGGATTTTCCTATACTTTGCTTGTTTATCACCTATAATTACATTCGGTGGGTTGTTAGGAGAAGCAACTGGTAAAAATATGGCAGCAATGGAATCTTTAGTCAGTGGATTCGTTTGTGGCATGGGGTATGGATTCTTCTCTGGACAACCCTTGACTATATTAGGGTCCACTGGCCCAGTGTTAGTATTTGAAACAATCGTATTTGAATTTTGTAAGCAAGTCGGATGGAACTACATGTCATTCAGGTTCTGCATCGGAACCTGGACTGCTATAATTTTGTTAATACTGGTAGCAATCGACGCTAGCGCATTGGTTTGCTACATTACAAGATTTACCGAAGAAAATTTTGCAACATTAATAGCCTTTATTTTTATATACAAGGTACGCACCTACTCCAAAGGTTTTTGTAAACATTTATAACAAAGATGAGTTTTACGTAATATATTAATTGCAGGCCGTGGAAAACGTTATTTCGATAGGTAAAAAGTTTCCTCTGAAGACACGCCCTGATGAAATTCTCAATTACGAATGCTACTGTTTACCAAGCAATTACTCGAGAGTGCCGGAGCAATTTAATTGGACGGCCGTTGACAAGGAGTCGTGTAAAGTAAGTAATCATCTTTATGGCACTTCATAAACATCCTAAATGATTATGTCGTAAAACATTGAGTTAATGAGGCTTTTCATTTCAGTTTTATAATGGAACCCTCGGTGGCGGCGGTTGCGACACAAAAGTATACGTACCTGATGTCTTTTTGATGTCCATTATATTATTTCTCGGAACATTTGCGATTTCAATTATCTTGAAGGATTTTAAGAATTCTCTGTTTTTCCCTTCAAAGGTTTGTTATTCCTACTCGAGAAAAGTTAATAATAACACACACGAATAAAATCCTATTTTAGATGTATTAAACTTAAATTAAATTGTTATTTTGCAGGTTCGTCAAATAATCAGCGATTTCTCGGTCATCATTGCTATTTTATCCATGTCCTTCTTGGATTACAAGGTGGGCGTCAAAACACCTAAATTGGAAGTACCGTCGGAATTTAAGCCGACACTGCCCACCAGAAACTGGGTTATCACTCCGTTCAGCGGAAATCCAATTTGGTCGGCCCTTGTGGCAATTCTCCCAGCGTTATTGGGTACTATTTTGATATTTATGGATCAACAGATAACTGCAGTTATCGTGAACCGCAAAGAGAATAAACTGAAGAAGGGTTGTGGATATCATTTGGACCTATTTGTTTTAGCCATTCTGATACAGATCTGTTCTATAATGGGTCTGCCTTGGTTCGTAGCTGCTACCGTTCTCAGCATAAACCACGTGAATTCCTTGAAGGTGGAATCAGAATGTGCCGCACCTGGAGAGAAACCACAGTTCTTAGGAGTCAGAGAACAGAGAGTAACTCACATACTCATCTTTATCACTATAGGATGTTCAGTACTTTTGACACCAGTTTTAAGGCATATTCCAATGCCTGTGTTGTTTGGAGTTTTCCTTTATATGGGAGCCGCATCTTTGAAAGGCCTTCAATTCTTCGATCGGATATTGATAATGTTTATGCCTCAGAAGTATCAACCCGATCACATGTTCCTACGACAGGTAAACACACAAAAATATTAGAGTAGCTGATTACCATAACTTATATTCAATTAATGACTTTCTTTCTTCCACTATTTACTTAAGTCGGAATAGTTTATTAATATATTTCTGTACATATTTCAGGTTCCAATCAGAAGAGTACACGTATTCACAGCTATACAATTGACTTGTCTTGTCTGTTTATGGGTAATCAAGTCGTTTTCATCAACATCAATTCTCTTCCCTCTCATGTTGGTGGTGATGATAGGTATTAGGAAGTCTCTAGACCTATTCTTCACTAGACGAGAGTTGAAGATCCTGGATGACGTCATGCCGGAAATCACCAAGCGAAGCCAAGACGAGTTACGCGAACTCGGCGATGGCGAGGTGGGATGGCATGCAAAACTGTTCGCACTTTGTCATCGCAATTAGTTGTTCCGATGATTTTGTCATTCTTCGTACGTAGTTTCATATTTTGATAGTCTCTTTATTTTGATTGGTCTTCGTTCAATCATGTTAATAACAAAAAAAAAAGCAATTTTATATATCGAGCTAACTCTGATAAATGTGAAAAAAGTCTTGTTTATTTTAAGCTATTGCTAGATGTACTTTCCATTACGATCAATGTTTGGTTACTTCCTTAACCTTTTGTAATATCACCATCGCTATGCACACTGTACGCACAATATTTTTTTCCGATATGAGTCACTTATACAAATCTTAGGGTATCCAATTATAGGATACCACAAAAAGCAACCCGCCCGAATACCAAGAGAACCTACAAATACCCCTTATCAACGGCAACATAATGAACATACCGCTGGCATCGATAAATATTTCCGAAGAGATGAATAAAACTGGCATTTGGAAACAAGTTAACAACAGCAATAATAAAGCATATGATGAACCGAGGGAATTCAAAGCAAAACCTGGGAAAAAGACGTAAGTTGAGCAAAGAAACAGAAGATAATAAGAAGTTTAAAATTAGACAACATTTCCTATTATCATCAACTTCTTTCTGATTCCACCTATACCCCAAAGACGAACGTTTCGAACTAAGTATGTAATCTTCAAGATTACACTGTAATTTACGCTAGTAGTACACATTTAAATAAAACACTTTTAATGATATAAAACGCAAAATATATTAGCTTTAAGAAGTAAAGTGCCGGAAACGTTGCGTCGCAGTTAAAATAGCTAAATAATAAATTAACTATTATATTTCGCATTTTAAACCGTTAAGCGTGTTTTATTTATTATTCTAAATTGAAATATAGATGGAATTATATCAATCAGGGAGGATTTCTTTAAAAAAGTATATCCGTTATTCGTATATTTCAGAAACAGACACAAAAAGCTAATGTCGAAAAACGTCCAATCGGAGGTAGAGAGACGCCTTTCTACGATGGACGAGATCGAGGAAGATGACTCAATGAAGGTGTGCGTCAATGATACGAAATTCTAGTGTAACACCAACGAGACGGCATGACACGGTACCCCACAAGCATGCATTGCCAATGCCTAAACAACAGCATTTTATGTTTTCCGTTCACTTGACCGTATCTACGCAGTTGTATAAAGTAGATGTAAGATATGCACTTCAGTAACACGACATCTCTTGGACAGTTTAGAAACTAACTAAAATAATACTCCACTTTGAAGTTATTCAAATTAAAAGGGCCTAATCGGCGAAATTTTAAATTAACATCATACAAATATTAGATGGATTTTATTTAAAATATTTCACTTGCAACAAAATTATATACATAATATTAAAAAAAAATAGTGGTAAGACCTTATACAGGAACTCTAAAGTATCTCCGAAATGTATTACGAATAAAGTAAACTAAACTACCCTGTTAAATAAATTATTTTAACGGCTTTAAACGAGATTTAAATTAGTTAAACCTATTTTATACGACGTGTCCCCATGACCACGATTGTTGCAAAGCATCCGAAACGTCGGGCCGTAGTTAAAATGATATGGATCCTCAAATAAGTTTAACTAACATATTTCGCGTTTTAAACGGTTAAAGTTTTTTCACGTAAACTACGGACGGTATTTAGACTACCCTTTCCTGAAATAGGTACAATATTTTTTACTGCTTATGTAGATATCAATAATTGCAAAATCTTTCTGATTAGTTATATTATTTATCTGTAGTTTTTGTTGCATGTCATGCCTAATTGCATGCTTCGTTATTAAACTCCAAATTAAATTAATGAACTAATGATTTAATGAATAAAATGAATTTTCAGAGCGAACTCCTAAAGCGTAAAGACTCATGGAGTATATCTAAAGACGAGTGCAAGAAAAACGGAGTATCAGCGGAGACATCGGTCTAAAAATTAAACTTTAATGGTATTTTGAGATGTGTTAGGGCCATGTTATGTATGCAAAGTATTTTTGTCTGCAGAACACATTTTAATACTTGTTCGATAGATAGCTGATTCACTAAGTTAATAATTTAACTGTTTGTGGCTAGGTGAGTAAATTACTACTGTGGCCACCGGCGGATCCAAAGGGGGGGTCAGATTCAGGGGGGGGAGTCCTAGGGTCACGATCTCCCCCTGGGCTGGTTCCAGGACTTGACCACGACTGTGTGACTCACCCCTCCTGCCGCCAAAAAAATTCTTGTGGCTCTATTATAAATGATTATAAGTTAAAAAAAAAATGTAATATTTTGGCATCAGGTAATCTGTGGTTTATCCTAACATAATTTCTTTGAGTCCTAGTCAACTTGTGACTGTCTATAGTTTTATCACTCATGATAGATAGGGTAATAAAACATAAGCACAAACTACAAAAGCAATTATTATGGCGTAAGTGAAGAATTATTGTGATGATTGTGATCGCTTGAAATTAAATAAATGTTAGTGACATTTTACATGTTAGTGTAATTATCTCTACGTGTTTAAAACTAGCACTTTCTAGTTATCACTAGTGAATTATTTTGAATAAGTCTATAATTTTTTAATAACCGTAATAAACGTATTATTTCAAATCGCAATCAGAGAATGAATTTGAGGAAAATACTTTACAAAAACATATAATTCTTAAAGAATCATAATATATTTGTAAACACAAATACAACCACAATAAGAAATGTTTATTGTCTGTGGACAATATGAATGGTGTGGTGTATCTCTTTATATACCAGAATACAGGTTCAGTTTAGGTTAATAATGTGATTTTGTTAGTGTTTTTTCTCGCCACGTCAAAAAGTCATTTTTTTACATAAATGTGCGTGAAATAAACCTCTTAAAATCTACAACGCGTCCTTTATCAGCAAACCTCTTCAATACTACTAGAAAAACATATAGAAATAATTCAACAAGTACCTATCAGTAAGCAAGTGCCAATAGTGAAAACACCAGTACTATAAGAATCAATTAAAGATAGTTTGTAAGTATATGTAATATTTCGTCTTTACCGTGTCAATGTTGCCCTGTAATTGTTTTAAGTAAACCTGTGACCCTAATGACGTTTGTAAGCTTCAGTATTTGTATTCCTTTCAGCATGTCTCCATGTGTGATAATTGTACGCAATATTAGTCTTTATTGTAATGTGTTAAGTCGTTTATCGTATAACAATGTACTTTAATATTTGTCGAACAAAATTAGATGTATAATTTAATAAGACAACACTGTTTTACTTTTGTAGTAAAAAGAGATAAAAAACATTTTGTCCTGTTCTCTCGTAAACGTACTGTCGATAGATAGAAAGAGATGGAAAATGTAGACGTGAGCCAGTTCGTGAAAGATTTGGGTATTTTCATTATTATTAATATCTTAATTTTAGTTACTTAAGTAAGCCTAATAGTGTAAATCGTAGTCATAGATTACCATTTCAAGTATTTGTTACGCGTTATAATTTGTGGTAATTATTTTTGTTTTAAGTGTTGAGAATAAATGTTTTTATAAATGTACTAAATCTTTTATTTGTGTCTACATAGTTAGTTTCTAATAATTTGGTACTGGAAAATATAAATGGTATGACTAGAAAACTAGTGAAAATGTTTTATTAATTTAGGCACTACGTAAAAAATTTCATAGACTTCATTTTGGCTTGGGCGTCAGTCGATTTTTTAACATTCTACGAAGCTGATATTTACGCTACATGTTTTAAAATAAAAAAAAAAAGATAAAATTTCCCGAAATAAAACTCAAAAATAAATACATAATTTTATGTAAAATTCCATTACAATATTATCTACTTAAATTACTTACATTATAATAAATTAGTCGAAACATTGTCTAGGCGGTTAGTTCTTCTTCTTCTTCTGGTCTGGTAGAATACCCATTTCCTCTTGATATTTCCTGATTAACTGTTCTTGTACATCTGGCAAGCAGGGTGAGTAACGACTGTATTCCATGCTGAACTCGCCCTTACCTTGCGTCATTGACCTGTAAATTGATAGATGGCTTTGTAATAAGACAAAATAACATAAAGATATAATATATATAGCATACATTTTTGCCTTATTTTACTCTTTTGTCTAATAAACTAAATGTTGTCGTGATTGCCCTAAAAACAGTTTCTTCGAGGTAACCTTAAAAGGTTCTGGGAACGAAGCGCTACAAACAGAATGGAGTGGTAAGTGTATGGAGGAGGGTTTTACCGCAAAATGTGGACCTAGCATAAACAACATTTAACATACTGTAAATAGTTTACGCGAAGTAGTACACATTTAAAAAACTTGTTTGGTTTTTTACTCTTTAATTAAAGTGTTTTAAATAAACAACATTTGTACAAATATGAATAAACTGTTAACGCAACCGTAAAACATGTAAAATATGTTTGGTAATGAAAAAGTTTTTTTTTTTTTTATATAATCTAAGGTTGAAGGTTTAATGTAAATTTACTCCAGTTGAAATGTTGTTATATAGCTAATTAAACAGGTCGTGGGTTCGGTCCTACCGGGTCAAACATGCTTGTAGTGAATATTATATTATTTTGAAACATGGAATTCACCTAGAAACTAACATGGGATAACAAAATTCCACCCGAGTCACGTCAACAGATGGAAAACCGTGATTTTCCGTGGATTTCCGAATATCATCGCCAGAGAGGTCAAGACATCGTATTGAAATGTTGAGTATTTCACCTTCCATCAAGTAAACCCCGTGCTTATCCCCCCTCTGTCATAAAAAATATAGCTTACCTTAGTTCCCCGGCGTATCCGAACATGTTATTCAGTGGCACTTCAGCGTAGATGGTCGTCCAGCCATCCATCCCTTCAGTGCCAGTAATAATACCGCCCCGTTTATTCAATTGCCCAATAATTGTTCCGTGGAATTCGTCCGGAGTTGTCACCTCGACGAACATTATGGGTTCGAGAATCTGCCAAGCGCCGTCTTCAAAAACTGAAATATAACAAAAATACAGAAAATGGCACCCCGCCGTTACCATGGCAACCGCAGCATTCGATGCGCCTGCTGTTAACTGCGCCTACAGTTAAAATATTATATAGGTACACGATGATCACGCTCTGCACTGCTGTGCCCCGTTGCAAGTAACTTAAAAGTCCAACATGTTTTAGAAAAATAATAAATTGTTTAGAATTTTGGACTCGATGGGGATCGTACCTCTGACCTGTTGATGATTAGCCAAATATTGCTACCATTGCACCAACGAGTCCGTCAAACATATAAATGTTTGTTTTTTTTAAACAAAGCGCAACAAAAACTCTTCCACTATATAATGTCACTGTAGAATCCTGCATTACCTTCCTTCACCGCACCCTTGGCAGCCAAGAAAAAAGCCAGTTCGCTGGAATCCACAATGTGATGAGCACCGTCTTGCAGCCTGAATTTAACTCCAGATATCTTGTGCCCGGAGAGGTATCCCTTCTGGCAAGTATCGATGAATCCCTTTTCGATACCGGGCACAAATTGTTTCGGTACATTTGTGCCTATCGTCTCATCAACAAACTCCAATACTGAAAAGAGGAAATAGTAATAAGGACGCGGAATTTTCTGTCTCTTTTCTTTATATATGTATTCTAAAATTGTTAATGACCTAAGAATGTACTTATTAATAATAAAATATTTGTGAACTAATTTTACAATGTCTTATAAATTTGTTATTTAATTGCTATCCAAAATTTTCACATACTATTTTAATAATTCACCAAAGCACTATTGTAATTATATAAAAATGTAAAGGAATGATTTTGTTGGTTTTGGAGTTCTTTTTTTATATTGAACAGACCGATAGAATAAGCCAGGTTTTCGGCTGGTTCCGTATTAACAAATTTAGTAATATCATCGATATATTTGACGAGTACACTAGCGTCAACCAAATGCAATATTCTGTTTTGCCTCTGTATATTAAGAAAGTACTTTATGACTAATTTCTATTTCAAGATATATTACCAGTGTTCTGGTGAGGTGGCAGAGGTTCCAGGATTCCAACAACCCTGGCGTATTGACCAGCTCCACCAGATTGCTTTTTGTGTAGGTAATCGAAAGTGCACGACGACATTAATGTTTCTCTGTAATAACATAAAAGTAATAAATAACATACGTAATGAATTTAATTATAGTATTGTGTATGTAAAATATATGAGTGCATGAGAATGAAAGATATCTTGTAATGTCAGTTGCATCATATTCAATAATATAATCATAGAACTTTATATTATAACTACATATTATAATTAATATATATATATTATATTAATTTTATATATATATTAATTTCTTGTGTGGGGCTTTTTGTTTTTATTGTGTTTTAGTATTTGATTATTAATCCTTTAAAGATATTTGCTTGTGTTAACTTACTTTTCTACATTATTTATCTGTGAAACGTTTTTAAGAATGCACCTTAATATTATATACTTTATTCTTACTATAAAATTGTATTCAATTTGTGTTTCTGTTGTTCCTTTCTTTCTAAAAATTTTCAATGGTTTCAAACGCGTCATATATTAGTTAACTTATTGACAATTTATTTTATGTAAATAAAACACTTTAACGGTTTAAAACGCGATATATTAGTTAAACTTATTTAAAAATTATTTTTAACTTCGGCGCGACGTTTCGGATGCTTTGCAGCAGCCGTGGTCATGGGGATGAGAGGTCTCCCCTTGACCACGGCTAGACCTCTCGTTTCGACTCGTCTCAGCTTAGACGTCTCGTTCGGAATACATCGCGTTTTAAACCGTTAAAGTGTTTTATTTAAATGTGTACTACTCGCGTAAACTATAGACAGTATTTAATTTATTTTATGGCCTGACGTTTTGGTTTAAGTGACTATCCCGACTCCGAAGCAAAGCATTTATTTGGCATATCGTGCCTTTCGGGCTGTTCGGCCGACGTGAGCGTGAAGAGGTTCCCGACGTTTTGCCATCACGTGCGGACGGCATCATCAGGAGATGTTAACTCCTCGATTTCTCCAAGAAGTATGAGTTGTCCACCGCGGTCTCAGATAATAAACAATAAGCCATTTATTTATTTAGCGTTTTAATACGTTAAAAGTGTATTAATTAAGTCTGTCCTATTCGCGTAAACTACAGACAATACTTATATCATTACTCTAATTTAATTAACATACAATTAAAATTTATAATTTTTAGAGTACCGTGTTGAGCTTAATTGGTAAGGTCAACAGCACGTAACGCTGTGGATGCCAAAATAAGTCCTGCCCGTGTCGTAATAAAAAATGTGAATCTAAAATCGAGTTGTAAATTATATAATGCCGGTATGTGCAATAATATGCGAAAATTATTAAATTTTTCAATAACTAACATTCATTTTAATTTCCCCTCGTTAAGAAATTATTTTTAAGCGGCCGATAAAAGAAATAAGACGACATGGCGTTGACATGACTTTATTATACCTGAAAGCGACCTTGGGTTTCCCCAAATCCACTGGGCAGTTGTACTCTCTCTCCATCCGTTGGGCGTAAATCTCTAAATGCAACTCTCCCATTCCAGACACGAGCGTCTCTTTATTGTCGCCGTCATAACGGAATTGGAATGTTGGGTCTTCTTTTGTAAACCTGAAAAATAATAATTAATTGTTAACTATTAACTGGTATAAAAATAAAACTAATATGTACTATAGTTTTAGAATATAAAAAAAAACAACCTTATACCAAAGGTTTAATTTTTTTTTTTAAATTCCACTTACATAAACGTGGAATTTGATTTTATTAAGGCAATTGTCACTATTTACAAAATCATGTAATTTTGACTAGCGCGTTGGTCTTATGGTAGTAATGTATGGCTAATCATTAACGGGTTGTGGATTTGACCCACCCCTATCGGAGCCGCATAATTTCTAATCAATTTATAAATTTTCTGAAACATGTTTGACTTCTTTTCTATATCTGGATATTAACTAAGAATATCGAAGTTCATCCGGGTCACAAGCCACTGTTCACAGACTAATAAACAATTAAAGTAAGTCTTAAAAAGTTATAGTCACTCTTATATAAAGGTATGGCAACTTTAGTACAGTGATAATAATAGACAAGTCATACCTAGCGACTGCTTTTGAAAAGTTATCTCTATCCTTGTTATTCTTCGGCTTGATCGACATTGACACGACCGGGTCAGGTATATGAATGGACTCCATTGACAGTTGCAGCTTGCTATTGTTCACGAAGGTGTCTCCAGATGCGCAGTCCACACCGAATAATGCGAAAATATCACCAGCTAAGACCTCATTCACTTCTTCCATGTTGTTTGAGTGCATGCGGACGAGGCGAGATATTTTCACCTGGAATTCAAATTCTAAGTTATATTGTATAGGTATACTACAAATTATCAACTTAATATAAACATAAAAAGGCAATAGGTCAAAGGTAGGTGCGTGTATGTTACATTTAGCAGCATTACTTACAAACTGGCGTGGTAATGGTAAATAAAATACGAAAAACCATATTTTAACAAAAAAATATTATTGTACTTGAAAAAAAAAAACAGTTGTTTTAATGTTGTCCTAAAAAATATATGATATTTTCATGCCATGTTCCAATATGAAATTTTTATACATTTATTTTTATAAATATATAAATTGATATAAATTAAATACTCTATGTTTTTGTGTCTGTTAATTAGAAATATTTTAAAGGCCTACCTAAACAACACAATTTTAATGCTTTCTGGCATTCTAGTTCTAAATCTCCTGTGCTTAACAATAAAGACACCACAATTTTTCACTGAAATAATATAGAATATACTCTACCTTCTTTCCAGTCCTAGCATTGAAAATATGTTCTCCTCGCTTCAGCATTCCCTGATAACACCTTAAATATGTCAGTTGTCCAAATTTGCTCAATTCCAATTTGAAGGCCAAACCGACAAAGGGTTTAGATCCATCTCTAGAAGGGTCCAAAATTACTGTTTCCCCTTCATTTCCTTTCTTTTCTCCTATAATAGCTGTGTTTTCGACTTCCCCAGGGTGTGGGAGGTAATCTAAAACAGCATCTAGTAGGGGTTGGATTCCCTTATTTTTTAATGCTGTTCCTAAGAGTACTGGCGTAAATGCTCTCTTTAATGTGGAGCGTCGAATCGCCTGTTTTATCTCAGGTAAAGTAGGTGTCTTCTCTTCCAAAAACATTTCACCTAAAAGATATTCTATCTATATTATATTCTGTAATTAGACCATATGTAGAAACTTTAGACTTCAAATAAATGGTAGTAAAAAGTATAGTGTATGTTTTCTTACTTGGCATTTTTGATAAACAAAAACGGTTTACAAGAAATTGAGATTTTCCAAGGAGATTTACATAAAATCAGCCTAAAAACACTTACACAATCACACCACACTTAAGTAGTAAGAACCATAATTTCATACTAAAATTAATAAAAATTAATAAGGTGTCACTAGTTATCTATGGTTTGAAATCAGACATATTATTTGTTGTGGTCTTTTGTCACATTACAAATTATTTACTATAAACATTTTGGGTTTTAATTTTATCTTTTCTTTTTTTTCTAATATGATTCCCACTATATATTGTATGCATGCATATATGGATAAAACATTAGCTTAAACTCATAAATCATCATAATCAAGTACTTATATTATATTAAATTTGAGAAACTTAATTAATTACCTAGTTTCTCATCAACATTAGATAAATGTTCGATAAGTTCATGTCTCCTTTCATTGGCTTCCACACGCCTGTCTTTGGGAATGTCATCTAATCTGACAACATCTCCATAATTTCCCTCAAAGTAAACAGCTTTCTCCTCTACCAGATCTATAATTCCTTGGCACTCCTTCTCAAGGCCTATTGGAAGGTGCAAAAAGGCTGCATTATGCTTCATTTTAGAACGCATTTGCTGTAGCACCCTAAAAAGTTATTGAACAATGTCACTTTAAATTTCATCGAAAGCCAGACATATTGCTGTGTAAACTGCTATTTATTTACTATTTCTATGATGATTCTTAAAATGATAATTATATATTTCATTAGTTTAGAATAACGAGATGCTAGCTATGACAATAGTTGCAAACCAATAAGAATGATCAAAGCCTTCTTATTAAATATAACTACTATACTATGCGACCAAGGCTGCTGCATAGCATCCAAATGTTTGTTCATAGGTAAATATGACTGATATACTATAATGCCTTTTTTATTGTTTACCTTACCTTTCAGGATTAGAATATAATCTGTCCAACTTATTTATAAAAGCCAAACACGGCACATTATATCTCTTCATTTGCCTGTTCACAGTTAGTGTCTGACTCTGCACACCACCCACAGCACATAAAACAAGCACAGCTCCATCAAGGACTCTCAAAGCTCTTTCCACCTCTACAGTAAAATCTACATGCCCTGGGGTATCAATTATATTAATATTGTGATCCTTCCATATTGTATAAGTTGCAGCTGACTGTATAGTGATTCCTCTTTGCCGTTCTAATTCCATAGAGTCCATAACAGCACCCACATTGTCTTTTCCTTTAACCTGAAATTTGTCAATTGTAATTTAATTATTTATAGTAAGAAAGTTTCTTTCATACAATACAGACAAGATATGAGAAACTTTTCTACAAATTATTTGTTTTATATTATATTTTTATAGTTGTGGTTCAAATGTAAAACACATAGCTCTAAGCATGAGGGGTGTTAGGTTTGAAGCTCAGAGAATTTGGTGTTCACAGATGCCAGTAACACTACATTGGCCTAAAATAAATTTAATAGCATTTGCTGTTCATGTATGTTACTGACCCATCCTCCAACATGAAGGGTAAAGCAAATTACCTTAATAATAAGTCCTTATAAAGGTTTGTGGTACTACATATACAATATGGCAAATATGAGATGACAAATACATTAAAATGAGTCTATAGATGTTTAAGCCTCCTCCAATTGTGACATTTTCTTCTGTATAGTGGTTAATGTTCTTGTGATAATTTGTTACTGTCAAATGTTCAAAACTGCGGAAGTCTTCTCTATATTACAAACAGATAATTATGTACCTCTATGTTACCGTGTTTTATTGAGAATATTTTTTTACTAGAGTGTTATGAGAATTTTCAACCTACCTCATGCATTTGATCAATCCTTCCAGTATAGAATAATACTCGTTCCGTTAGAGTTGTTTTGCCAGAATCTATGTGAGCAGAGATTCCAATATTTCTGATTCTTTCCAATGCTTTGTGTTCAGCATATGAAGAATACTAAAACCGTTCCATAAAATATTGTATCATTTGAAAATAAAATATATAAAATTATTATAAAAGTATTTATAATTCTTTGAAATTACCAATAATAATCACACAGTAGTGAACACTTAATGAAATTCATAATAAAGTGGACTAAGAGGGGCTAATTACAAACACTGTGATTAAAAGATGGCAAACTAAGAGTCAGTATAGTCTGTTTACTAAGGAATTAAGTAATTTTCAATACTTACATCAATTTTAGATAACCTCGTAGGTTTCGTAATTTGATAAAAATTTCTTATTTTTAACATTGTGAATGCTTCTATATTAACTTAGTAATTTTAAAATTCTGGATAATTTATGTTAGCTAAATAGTATGAATGTTTTTGAAGTAATATCGTAATAATCTTGAAAATTGTAATATTTTACCAGTTTTACTATTACAACTAAATTCTAACCTAAAATTATGAATTATGATCAACTTTGACATTGGCAACATACATTGACAACTACTATGCCATATATTCAAACTGTCATTATTTGACGGTGACATACGCAATTTCATACTCAATTCTAATGTTGGTATCAAAACGCGGTAAGTCAAAAATATGTGGAAATTTTTAAAAATAATAAATTAAACGTATCACACAAAGCAATTTTAAATGTATCCTTCGACTTTTATCACTTTACGTATCTTTTAAAAATTTAAAAAGTCTAGTTTTAAAACGTTATCTATATTCTTGCATACCTACAGAATTAAGCTTCCTCGTCTATAGCAGCTTTTAATGCAATGTTGGCTGTACTGGTGTATAAAAAAATTAAGATGTCAGTTTAATTTCAGTTTAAAAAGAATATGGCCGTGTTAGGCCCGAATGTGAGTGTAAATATGAATGGACATAATAATATTCATAGTCAGTTAACAAAATCATTAGAAAGGATTTTAGAAGATGCTTACTTAAGTGGTGAATTAAAATTAAGCGGACGCAAACTGCGCGAGTTCCCAAAACCAGTGAAGTTTGATTTGAGTGATACAGTTATTGCTGGTAAGTCTGGAACGAGTAGGGATTATAAAAATAAGACAGCGATATTAATTAATATTATGACACAACATTCCAATATATGCCTCCTTGATGTAATTTTGTCATATTGGCGTAGACTTTATCCGTTATTTGTTTTTGTTTATACCGGCATTTGCTAAAAATTCCGACGTGGTAAGATCGATTAAACCGTTCTTTCGCCTTTTTTGGACTAAAAAAAAGAATAGTTTACATTTTGCTAAATACCATTAATATCCGTATCAAGTACTGTTTAATAGTACAATTTTAATTACTAAACCAAGTTAATTTTAAATTGTTTGGGTTTTCTTATTGGACGGGAAAGTGTGCGAGAAGCATGCGTGGTTAAAAATATTTAAAACTTGTTTTGGTAGCGGTACAATTCGAATGATTAATATGCAATGCGTTAATAACTATTAAAAAATAACAATTTATTCCTCTTATATTGTTATAAACATGTATATTCATGAATATTTAGTATTTTAATTTTAAAGCAACAAATCAATTCCTTACAGTCACAGTTTCAAATTAATAAAACCAGCACTTAAGACTTAAGACTTGATATAATTATTTACTTCTAAGAAAATTCATAACATCCAGCTTAATATTATATTCATAAAATGTTTTTTTAATCTACTCTATTATTATGGCAGCTAGCTTTTTATGGTATAGTTTATGACAAAGCACTCATTATCTTCAAGACTTCATTGTTTGAATAAGTTGTTGTTAGTTCATGGTCAAAACTATATTCAGGTCTAAGGTTATTGAATCAATATCACATCAAGGATTGATATAATATTGTGAATAATTATAAAGTATAATATAATAATTATTGAATAATGTATCTATTAGAAAAATATAATTTTGTGCTTTAAGACAAAATATGAGTGAAAGTCTATAAATGTACATAGTATGACACTAAATATTTATTTCCTGTAGACCACACTCAAGTACATCAATTATGTTGTTAAATAAAAAGCAAAAACAGTTTTATTGTTACAAGTGACTTAACACAAATTTGCATAAATTTATTTCTTTATTTTGTGTGTACTTTTTACTGTTTCATCCCTATTGAGACAGTCTTATTAGATAAAAGAAAAATGATGTCAGATAGGATATAACCCAAATCCATTTATTTTTATTTTTACTAGATTTTAGGTGAAAATTATAAAACTTTAAAAGTAATACCTATTATCAGATACAAAACTGTAACTCATTAAGTCATGCTTTTGTTAATAGACAGCTGTGTGCACTCCTAACTGTCATCTCTTGATAAAGCAGTCTTGTGTGGTTACAAGTGGGCTGGTTTTAACCACTACTGTTTATTTATGCATCATCATTACTACACACCATAGATAAGTTTGTCTCGGAGCTGTCATAGCTTTGCATGATGTCTAACCTTATAAAAATAAATGTTTGTCTTATATAACTTTATCAAATGCCTTGAGGTATGTGATGAAATCCGCTGTATTTAGATAAAATCCACTGAATGCCACTTTAATACCAATGATATTGAAATAAGTAAATAGTTACCTATTTTATTTATTTAGAGACAATTAAAATATCCACTTAAGTATAATTGTATGTACTAAACAGGTAACAGAAAGTCTTGACAATAGATTTAAGGTATTTTTTGTACAAACTTGATTTCGTCATTAGTAAATGTGACAGCTGAAAACAGGTTCATGGTTCTAAATCTAGTTTCCATCCATGTAATTTTAGGCCAGTATTTTAAAATTTTACAAGAAAATTTGTTATTTCAACCCAGTGTTTGAAAAAAGGCAATTTTGCTACTGTGAGGCATGAGTCACAGAACGTGAATTGGTGGTAGTCATTAAAGCTTGCAGGTTAGGCTCTTGCTCTTAAACACAATGTGAGAGCATACATTTCTCCAGCTGTGAGACATTAATTGGTTGAAACGACATTGTAGCACAAGATTATCTTATTTGCTTCTTATTAGGCATTAGGAATCCACAACTGTAATTTATCATGTTTCTCCTCTCAATTTCCTTGCAAGAGAAGATCTATGATTGCAATTGATGAAAGACGTTTCATCATAACATTACGGTGAAACTTTATTGAGAATAATCGAAACACAAATTGCATCGATAAATCGTCTTGTGTCAATAATCGATAAGTTGATGCGAGAAATCGACAACATTTGCCGATTTCGATTGCGATTGGTGCGGACTTTCACACATTATGTATTTAAGGAAGTCAGTAAGCGGTTTTAAGCGGAATTAATTTTTCATTAGTCAATTTAGAATTTTATAGATACAGCTCTTTTCTGTGGCGCATTTGCATTACGCCGTTACCTAGCACTGCTTTACGCGTCGGAATTTGGAAGTGTGCATTGGTCGCTCCGAATTTACCTTTGAAAGCATCAAAAAATAGGGGAATTGAATGTGTCACAATACGAAATTTATAGATTTCGCGTTTCAAACAAATAGGAAACTTAACCCATAGAATTCTTCAGGTTTCTTACACCACCAAACACTAATACAAGAATTATCTACATAAAAATAGAGAATTTAGAGACTGTTTCGATAAACATATTGTTCGAAACATTTTAATTATTTCAGTCATATTAAATACATACTCAATGTATAGGTATATAATTCTGTTATGCCAAGTGACCAAACCTGAAAATTAAAGATTCAAATTGAATTCAGTGTGAAATTAAACGCCATTTCCCCTCCCCTGGAAAATCACGAATTGTGTCTTTACAACTACCTACAGTTGACTTGTGTGATCAAAACTAATGTTTCCCTGATATTGAAATTTGCATGATTCTTAAAAATTATAGGAAGTACCAGGATTGTCAAGTGGACCCTAATGTGCGGTTTTAAAGTGTTTCTTTAACAATTCAGCCATGTTGGTGGCATGAAAATTTAAAATAAACATTTCAAGGCATTAAAACTCTCGTTATTCAAGTATTTGGAAAGGGGATAACTCCCCCGCTGTCTGACGTTAGGACACGTTAGTACTTCAAAAGAACGTACTTTAATTATGTGGTGGACTTGTCTGTGATTTAATCATGACCCAGCCTTAAAAAATATTAATATATACATATTATGTTAAATACTGTCTATAGTTTACGCGAGTAGTACACATTTCAATAAAACACTTTAACGGTTTAAAACGCGGTATATTTGCATTCGCTTTGCAGCAGCCGAAACGTCAGGCCGCAGCTAAAGATCATTTTCAAATAAGCTTAACTAATACATTGCGTTTTAAACCGTTAGTGTTTTATTTACTTAAATATATTATGTTTTTATACAAGCTTAGTCATCATTGCAATTTTTCTGAACTTAAGTTGGTACGATGTACGAAATAATGTCTACTTGGAACTGTGTATAATTTTAATTTACATTCCCGGTAAATAATGACTAAATCGAAACTTCTCAATAACTGAAAATCACTTTTACCTATGTTGTAAGATACCTATGTCCTATTATAACATGTACTTGTATTTATTCTTCATGCCGTTCAGATGACAAGATCCATGTCCCTGCAATTGTCAAGTCCTCGAAAGTCCTGTTTAACATATAACTATTATTTGTGTAAAAATTATTTTAACCATTTTAGGTGACTGTGCTCTTGTAGATTAACATTTTTAGATTATAAATAAATCAAAATTGCAGTTAGGCTACTCTGTCGAGCTGTCCATCGAATAAAGCAATATTTACATACAGAAAAAAAAACTATGAAATTACAGCAATGGAATAAGGCAATAAGAGAATTTCTAATAAAGTTGCGCAACTTTATTATTTCCAAGCTCGAACTTTGTTCTGCTTCGTATGGTAGCGAAGTTTTCTATACAAACTCATACAACAATGGCGACAGGTGCACAAGCGTGGTCGTTCGGCCGTAACGATACTCCCGGATATAAGGGGACATTATAAGCGACTACAGTACAATGCAAGAATAAATTTAACTTTAATAATAAATTAGTAAAATGAACTCTATTTCTAGTGCAATAAGGACTAAGAATAGGTTCACTAATTTGTTAATTTCCAGATTTTTCTTTAGAAGTATTATAGGTCATGTCTTTCTGTAGCTAATGTTGTCAATTTAATAAATGCTAAAAGCTTTATGGTGGTTCAATAAAATTATCTATAGCCGTTGCCTTTTTTATATAATGAGATAGATTTAACTAAATTATAACATATACTTACACAATATTAACAATTAACAATATTAACTACTGCCCGACGTGTCTTATTACAATGTGTAGTACTAGCATAGACTACAGA